GTGAACACCAGCCCAGAAACCATGGCCTGGCCTACAGAGCCTTTGGCAGAGGCTCACACTGAAGCATCTGAAAGAGCTAGATAGATCCAGACCTGGTGAGCTCACTGAGTGATCCAGAGTAGCCTAATCAACAGGCAAGGCAGGATAACTGGTTCAGTGGCCTAGGCTGGGAGTAAATTTCACTCAAAGGAGAGAAAGTAGAATTATGCAACAATATGAACAGCCCCCTTGTGGGTAAAGAACAACTCCAAGACTGGCAGATTGACCACTATACCCTCTCTCAGAATAAGTTTCTACCTAGGGAAGATCTGGAAATATTTTTTAAAGACAAACATAAATTCCTATTATTTATTACAGAGTCTACTAATTTACCCAGGAAATTTTACCAAACATTTAAGTAAATATATCAACTAGATTTGGGTAGGGAGCATCTTAGTTTTGAAAGAGCCCCAGCATGCCTAATCACCCTATTAGAATTACTGAGGGTACAAAAAACATATATATATACGATTCAGCCAGGCGTAGTGGCTCATGCCTATAATCCCAGCTCTTTGGGAGGCCAAGGTGGGCAGATCTCTTGAAGTCAGGAGTTCGGGACCAGCCTGGTAAACATAGCGAAACCCCATCTTTACTAAAAATACAAAAATTAGCAGGGCCTGGTGGTGCACACCTGTAATCCCAGCTACTCAGGAGGCTGATACAGAAGAAACTCTTGAATCTGGGAGGTGGAGGTTGCAGTGGGCTGAGACCACATCAGTGCACTCCAGCCTGGGTGACAGAGCAAGACTCTGTCTCAAAAAAAACCACAAACAGTATGACTGGCTGGGTGCAGTGGCTCTTGACTGTAATCCCAGCACTTTGGGAGGTCAAGGCAGGCTTGAGGTCAGGAATTCAAGACCAACCTGGCCAACGTGATGAAACCCATCTCTACCAAAAATATATAAATTAGCCGGGTGTGGTTGGGTGCTTCTGTAGTCCCAGCTACTCGGGAGGCTGAGGCAGGAGAATCGCTTGAACCCAGGAGGCAGAGGTTGCAGTGAGCCGAGATTGCACCATTGCACTCCAGCCTGGGCGACAGAGCAAGACCCTCTCTTGGGAAAAAAACAAACAAAAACACAGTGGCCAGGCGCGGTGCTCATGCCTATAATCCCAACACTTTGGAAGGCTAAGGCAGGTGGATCACCTGAGGTCAGGAGTTCAAGACCAGCCTGACCAACATGGCAAAAACACTGTCTCTACTAAAATAATACAAAAATTAGCTGGACATGCCTATTATCTCAGCTACTTGGGAGGCTGTGGCAGGAGAATTGCTTGAACTGGGAGGCGGAGGTTACAGTGAGCTGAGATTGTACCACTGCACTCCAGCCCGAGCAACAGAGTGAGGACTCTGTCTCAGAAAACAAAATACAGTATGATTATATATAATTATGGTAGAACTAGTAGACTAGCAGACAGAGTTTCTACAGACTAAATGCTAAAATCCCACCAAAAAACAAAAAGAACAAAATAACAACAAAAACAAAAACAGAATTAAAATAACTTCCACAAAACTTGGGTGAATGTTTGTTGTCTGTATCTGTATGCATGTCTTCGTGTAATTCTCATTTATGGGGAAATATAAACAGTGAAGTTATTAGCCCATTGACTAGTTTTGGACTAGAGCTTTATGCTTTCATAAATTACCTAGAATGGTGGTTTCTAACCCATAAGGGAACCCAGCTTCATATCCAAATATGTGTTCTCAAGAACCAGCCATTAGACACACCACTACTGAATAAGGACTCATGAAAAATTTATTTCAAAACAGAAGTCTTCAGAATTATATATAACTCATTAATGCTTTGGGACCCAATAATCTAGCAGAAGAATATTAGGCTGTAAGCTTCATGAAGGAAGAGGCTTATCTACCTCATTTGTCACTGCATTCTCCATTAGGTATTCAATAAATATTTGTAGAACCAATAAAGTAAAGCCTTCAAGTTTGCAAATGGTCATAAAGCTGTTCCTAATCAAAATGCAAAATTAAAAGACAAGTTCTCACGAGGCTGTATAACTAGGCAAAATTATAGCAAGTGACCATCAGTGAAGGCAAATGTGAAGGAACATTTAGGGAAAAGCAATACCAATTATACTTTTAGGATAATGGATTCTAAGCTACACTGTTCAATCAGCTTAGACTGTTCCCTTAAGATACCACATTGCATGTTTCATCACAAAAGGCCCAGAAAATGCTAGGCATTATCAGAATACTCCAAGCAAATTAGAACTTGTGATCCTGTCCTTATTCAAAACCACTCTGCGTCCACAGCTACATATGCTGTGCAGTTTTGGTTCCCTATACCCCAAGAAAAACATACCAGAGTTGGAAGAGGTCCTGAGAAATGAGATTAAAGTTATAAAGTAAATGAAAGGGCTTTCTAATGAGAGCCTAAAAACTAGAGCTCTATTTTTTTTTTTCTGGTGAGATGAAAATTTAGGGGGAAGGGGAAAGCATAACTATATTATCAATTTGTTCACCAAACCTCATAATACTAGAGAGAAGAGGGCAGTATTTTGAAGTTTGAAATAAAAGATGCATTGGGCTTGGACATTCCCAGGGTGCTCTGTAGATCTTCACTCCTGGATGGGGACAAGGCAGGGCCCCTCTCTGAACTGACCTTCTGATTTGGAGAATTAAACCCCTGGTGGGTGGTGACTTGTTAAAAAAAGAAATAAAAGATGTAGACAAAAGATGATTTTTATCTGTAGTCAGAAAATACCCTGAATTATCACCAGTAAAACATATATATAAATGTAGTAACATTCACATATTCAAATCTAAAACTAAAAAAGGCTCTGAGGAACTAAGAACAAGGACTTAACGTTGAACCCATAAGCTTTTTTCCCCTCTGCATCAAAGCCTTCAGATTTCAAGTAACATTAAACTTTGTCATCTGTTACCTCAGCAACGCTAAGTTCAGAAACAGTGATTAACAAAAGTTCAGTAACAGGGCATTGAGGCGACAGAGGCACTCCAAAAAGCATTAAGGAAAATCTGATCTCTAGTCAATATATTCTGTTTAATAAGACAAGGAAGCAAATAAAATGTTACAGACTTATAAAATGAGAGTGAAAGGCAGCATGATTCAAAGAACATTGAACTGAGAGACAAAAAAACAAAGTTTTCTTGAATTTGCCATTGTTCTTTGTATTAGGACTGGAAGGAAGGATGGATGAATGTTTTACGACCTGTGGGTGAACTCTCAACCCTGCTCTCCCACATTATTGACTATGGCTTAAACACTGATGTTATCTGTGTTGCATTATTGCTGATAATTGTTAAGAGTTTTTATTTATTTGTTTGTTTGCTCTGAGACAGGGTCTCACTCTGTCACCCAGGCTGGAGTGCAATGGTGTGATCATAGCTTACTTCCGCCTCCACCTCCTGGGTTCAAGCGATCCTCTCACCTCAGGCTCCTGAGTAGTTGGGACCGCAGGCATGCACCACCATGCCCAGCCAGGTTTTTTACTTTTGTAGAGACAGGGTCCCCCTATGTTGTACCAGGAATGGAAGCAGACAAGGGGACAGTCAGAATGAGCAAACAAGCTCGAGAGTAAGCGGCTGCTCCCAAGAGGTGAGGAGCCCCTGCCTGAGCTTGGGCAGGAACATGAATCAGAGAGACACTTGGGTAGAGAAGGGAACTCAGTGAAACTTCAGTAGGATCAGAGGAAACAGAAAAAAGAGCTTCATGTTCCTGGACCCAGAACAAAGCCCCAGATTGGGAATGGTAGAGCTATGTGACCACAAAGAATTGGCTTTCACTCCTATGCTATCAACAATTACTTGTGTGGGCCGGGCGCGGTGGCTCAAGCCTGTAATCCCAGCACTTTGGGAGGCCGAGGCGGGTGGATCACGAGGTCAAGAGATCGAGACCATCCTGGTCAACATGGTGAA